CTTCTAACCCATTTAAATTCAAACTCTACCTCCCTTGCGACCTTTTCCACTTCCCTTATCACTTGTTTGAAAGTCCACGGAGTAGTTCTATTGTTTTTAGCCCAAGAGATGATCACCTTGGAGTCCCCTTCAACCTCAACATGCCTCATTCCTAGTTGCTTAGCTATCTTCAATCCTTGTAGCAATGCCTTTAACTCAACTTTTAGAGAATTGCCCATGCCGATAGGTCCAGAGAACAATGCTAATATTCTCCTTTCAAAATTTCTGATTACTCCCCCGATACCTGACAGTCCCGGATTTCCAAAGGAGCTTCCATCAAAATTCAGTTAAATCCTGTTACCATCTGGAGGTTTCCATTCCATCCTTACTCTCTCTTTCACTCTTGAAGATTGCGCTACTTCTGTCCAGGATCTTATAATGTCTGTGACTGAGAACTCTTGAAAGATATGTAAAGATCTTATCCATTGAGCTACTTTAACTTTAATTGTGTCGATTACCTCCTCCCTTGTTCTACTCTTATCCAAAAAAATTCTTTTATTCTTTTCTTCCCATATTACCCAGCAAACAGCTGCCTTTGTAGTTTTCCACATAACCTTCCCTCTTTTCTTTGATTGCCTCAAAAAGTCTCGATTGAAAAGTCCTGCCACATCTCGAGGGGGAACCCACTTGCAACCAAAGAGAAAACAAAAAGAATCCCAAATGTGATGCACAAAAGAACAAGACAATAATAGATGTGTCAAGGTCTCACCACTTTCCTTACAAAGGGAGCACATGTGAGGAGAAAGGCAAGCAAAAGGCCTTCTCTGCAGCATATCACAAGTATTAACCTTGCCAAGGAAAATTTCCCAACAGAAGGCTTGAATTTTTGGGGGAAAAGGCTTACTCCAAATTTCTTTTACAGGGAAGTCCCCAACCAGGTTGCTAGGTGTGGCAAGAACACTAAAGGAGGAACAAGAGAAGAGGCCATCTGAGGAGCCTTTCCAAATTCTAGAATCTTCCAAGGATGGGTCCAAATGAACTTGTCCTAACAGATCCAGCAATTGGACTAAAGAGGCACATTCATTTTCCCCAAGGCCCCTCCTGAAACCCCGATTCCAATTAACCCCATTTGGGCCAAGATTACCCAAAATGCTTACTATTTCCCCTTTGAAGTTTGACAAAGTGTATAGGTCAGGGAAGAGATCTTTGAGTGGACTATCTCCCACCCAAAGGTCTTCTAGAAACGAACTTTATTACCCTGGCCCACATCAAACCGAATGGAATTAAGGGATGTTGGATAAATTTCAAAAATTGGTTTCCAAGGAGAAAATGAGGAAACATGAGGGGCAGCTTTTGCATCCCAACCATTTCCAACCAAACCATGAATACTCACAATGACTTTGTGCCACATCCTATCTCTCTCAAACGGGAATCTCCACAACCATTTTCCTAGCAGAGCTAAGTTCCTAGGTGAAATATTTCGTATTCCCAGACCCCCTTTATCCTTGGGCATTCTAACTTGATCCCAATTTATCAAATGAGCCTTCCTCTCCTCGCCTGGGTCCCAAAGGAAATCTCTCATGTATTTTTCTAACCTCCTTGCTACTCTACAGGGTATTCTAAAGGTTGAGAGGAAGTAAATAGGGAGGTTTGCCAACGTGGCTCTAATCAATGTTATCCTTCCCCCAAGAGAGATATAATTCCTCCTCCATAGAGCTAGCTTCCTAGCAAATCTTTCAATGACTGGCTTCCAAAAACCTTCTGACCTAGGGTTACCACCTAAAGCTAAACCCAAGTAGCTAATTGGCCACCTTCTAATTTCACATCCCAGAATCTCTACAAATCTATGGAGTTCCCTTTCCTCCAGATTGACCCCTACAATGCATATTTTGGTCCAATTTATCCTTAAACCTGTCACCCCCACAAAGTTATCCAATAGCAACTTAAGGTTAACCACTCCTTCCTTGTTAGCTCCCTCACAAAAGAAGATTGTGCCATCTGCAAATTGAAGGTGGGTAACAACCTCTTGATTTCTACCTACCCTCCACCCTCTAAACAAGCCTTGGAAATCGGCTTTCGCCACCATTTTGCTTAACACCTCAGCCACTAAAGTGAAGAGAAAAGGGGATAAGGGGTCTCAATGCCTAATTCCTCTCTCAACTGGAAAGAAATCCTTCGCTACTCCATTAATAAGGATTGAATAATGGACGGAACTTAGACATCCTCTCACCCAAGATCTCCATTTTGTTCCAAAACCCAACATATTTCCTCCTTTAAAATCTCCCCATTTCCAACATATTTCCTCTTGTGCTTCTTTGTTTGGGTTAGTGCCAAGATCCAACACTCCTTTATTTGTATCTTGACGATGTATCTCCCCTGGGATTTCTTCATCTTCCCTCCTGACTGGCACTGAGTTCGCCCCTAAGACTGGCATAGTTCCATCACCCGATTCTTCTCTTGGCACCAAACTAGAGTAGTTAGAGGGGTCTTCGAACAGCAGCTCTGTTCCCATCGTTTCATCTTCCGACAAAACGTGCGTTTTAGCAATGTTGACACTTCTGATGCTATCTTCTAGCTCTGATTGGTACGCCTTCTCTTGCATTAGGTCTTCCCAATCACTTTCCTCTTCGGATTCATCGTTCTCGTGCCTATTGAACTTTGGATTTGGCTTATCAAGGGATATAGAGTTGTTCGTCGGCACCGGTTTCCATACCCAGGTGTCGTCACTTCCTTTTCCGGTGTCCCCTAGAAGTTTAGTGGCAGCCCTGCTTCCCTGTGTTAAACCTGCAGCGGGGGGACGAACAGCAAGGGTCGATAAAGATGATGATAGACCCTTGCTATTGTCCACCATCATTTGGGCAGAACCGCGTGCTGGTTCGCTCGGTTCACCCATCGGACTGACTAATGGCGTGTGCTTAGCATTAAAAGAGGGTTTATTGATCGATCCAGCTGTCACCCCCACAAACGGTTGTTTGGAATCCGCGCGTTCATTAATAGACATCTTGGATTTAAAGGTTTCATTAGTGCCCTAATTTCCAATTTTCGAATTGGGCGGCTGTTCATTTTCCTTTGTATTGCAAAAACGGTCAACCTTCTTTAATTCTTTGACCCTTGCCACGTCATCATCTTCTACCTCCCACAAGTTTCTCCACAGTCTCTCCTCCACCGACGAGAGCAACCAAACCACAGTCTGAGATTCTCCTATCTCCAGCTTCACTGTTCTTGGGACTTTTTCCTCTTTAATCCCTCTCAACCCCATTACCGCCGCACTGAGATTTGAAGTGTCCAGCTCTTCCAAGGCCCCTGCGCACTGGGAAGCGATTTGTTTGAAAGTTTCAAGGCACCATAGATTGAACAGAAGTCCTAAAACTTTCAATCGGAATACTTCTGTTTGGTCTATGCGATTTGCACTCGGTGTCCACTGGCTAACTACAATTATACTTCTGAGGTCTGAATAGGGAAAGCATAAATCTCCCCAACCATCTTACCCACTTCTAACAGCGCCTTATCTGCTTGAAATGGTCGCAGATTGAAGGTACCTTCAAATTTCAATTTCTGTTTCAGTTCCTTTGCAACCAAGCTCCATTTGGCCACCTTCTTTTTTGCAGAAACTACATACTTTTTACTCCAATCCATACCCTTCCCGTCTTCTTCCTTTCCCAAACCTGATTTTGATTGGAATGCTTCTCTGTTGTTTGCCTGGGTTTGCCTTGATTGCTCCTCATTTCTCCACAAGAACTCTTGTAGTTCTTTCACCACAGTCGTCCAACCTTCACTCTGATTTCCAAAGGGGATGCATATCATCTGTTTTTTGCCCAATCCAAACCACTCTATGAATGTGATGAACCACCCTTTCCTATTGAAACGTTGTTCTGCTTCAAAAACCTTACCGTTTAATTTCATCCTATTCTTCCAATTCTGAAATCTTCTTGAAACAATGGCTACGTCCAGAAAACCTTTTAGTCACACGACCACATCCTTCAGTAGGTACACGGATGCTCTTTTCTCTTCTCTGATTTTCAGTGATACCAGTTTCCTTGACTTCAATTCCTCGAACTTAAAAAGTTTTGCTTCAACGGCCATTTCCTTTCTCCATCTTCCCACCAATTCGAATCTCTGCATCCCTGGGTCCGACTCACCCTTACTGCTAAGTGATTTCAATTAACTCAATGAAGCATTCAGCCTGGTTTCTGGTTTCTGGTTTCTGGTTTTTGGGATTCAAGCACCAAGTGGGACGAAATAAAATTGAGTTATAAAGCATCTTTTAGTTTTAACTGCCAGATATAACTAAATGGGATTTCAAGTTTCAATGAATCAACAACCACTTGTTTTAGATATCTCATATCCACATTGAGATAGTACACTACCATATTAAGTTTTCAAGCTGTTTCACATCAGATGATAAGTTTGTAACTATTCTCTTGTAGCCATCTTTCTTCAGTTGAAAGTTCATCCATCTCAGTAAGATCTTCTCAGATGGTTGATTCATCAGCTCCTCCACATCCCTTCAATGAAGTCCTGCATGCCGATATTGACTACTGTACACCCAATAGCCTTAGCAGAATCGAGGCATAGTGTTACTAAAGATATTTATCATAGAGTATGTCACTTAGTCAAATTATCATTTCTCTTCTCAATTTTGTTCTCAATGTTCTCTATTGTAAAATCTTTGAATAATTTTCAGTTTTCTTTTCAACAACCATCCTGCAACTCATCATTCTCATCCATTTCCTAACAATTTCCTAATTCCTAATACCCACTCAGATCATGGTCTACCACACAACTCAGATTACTGAAAATTATAACTTTTGGATCCCTTTGAACATAACAAGTTTCATCATCTTAACCATTTAAAACATTCTAGAAGTACTAAAATAAAAGAGCAATCCCATCAAACAAATAGAAGTATGCACAAGACCAACAAATATGAACATAGTCAAGCAGAAACAACACCACTTAATGAAGAATCATAAGGGAAAGTATGATAAAAATGACAATAACTGAATTTTGTAAACACAAACCCTCTTCCATGCAGTAGTAGCATCACTGACTCTCATGGCTAATTGAGCACGCACTGCTTTTCCAACTTCTATATCCTATATACAAAAACCTTGTCAATAATAACTGTGGTATAATGGTATAGAGGGATTCCACTATATCACTGTATAATCAATTTCTTCTAGTTAGTCTCCCAGTATAATAAGAAAAAAAATCTTCACTAGCATACTAAAAATTGAGAGGAAAACAACAATGACAGCATCACCAAAAGAAAACCATTCCAGATAAAACTTCTGAACATGTCCCAATGGCCTCTATTGTTTGTGGATAACATTTTCCTTTTCTTCTATGACAGGTAATAGGAACTTAACTTATTAAACAGAAAAAGAGAGAAGCATAGAAGACATACAAAAATGGAAGAAAAGAACCAATGACAAGAATGCAAAGTGCCAAGGCTCCATGCAAATACAAGGATGAAATAATTCAACAATCACTGAACTAAAATATCCTCCATAATGAAACAATGCAGGCACTGGGAGACCCAGGTACCAGCCATAGAATACTCTTCAAGCCAACCTCGCCCACCAAGAAGAGAACACCATAAGAGAGAGAGAAAAAAAAAAGAGTAAGAAACAAGATGACTGCAATACCAACACACATATCAATGAGCCAGTCAACAAGACCCAAAGGAAAGGAGCAACTACCTACTCTTCATCTGCCTCTAACCAGAACTAGACAACAAGGTCCTGAATAAGGGCCAAACCATTGTGAACCTTAATTCTTGACAGAATTCGCTTATTCCCCTTCCTATGCTCATAGGACCTCTCCCATCCCTACCCCACAAGTACCCCTAGGCCTGTAAAGGGAGCAAATTTGAATCAAATCAGGCCATGTTCAAATTCGATTCAAAATCCATTGGATATTCAGAAATCCCAACTGAATTCAATTTCGATTAAAATATCGACTATTCGAATCGATTCGAATTCAACTGATTCTATAAATATTAAAAATCCTAAATCTAGAAATCAGATTACACAAGAAGAAACCCCTTTGCTGTGACCTGTGAGCAAAAAAGAAAAAGCCTCAAAAGACTAGAATAAGAAGAAAATAATAGCAAAAAACACGTGAAAAATCTAAAAATAAAAAAGAGACATAAAGAAGTAACAGAGAAAGCTAAGATTTGAATGGAAGAAATTAAAACACCATGAAGCTCATTTGTCTTCGACGAAACCCGGTGCTCTTTCCTTTTTTTCTCCTACCTCTGATTGCAAGTTTAAAAGCAGTGAAAATGAAGAATGATAACACAACCAGGGGAGAGGGAGATGAGACGGAGTTAAGAATAGGTCGATAGGTTAGAAACACTGAGAGTTGCAGGTTAGGAGATGGGGAGAAGAAAAGTCTATCAAAGTGAAAGAGTTGTGGGTTAGGAAATGTGGAGAAGGTAAGTCTTGCCAAAGTAAGTGGGGAGAGGCTCGATGAAGATAAAGGGGTTATGTCTTGATGAAAAAAAATAATATAAAATCAATTGACTGTTGTATCATTAATTGTTTTTTGTCAGTTTTCTGAAAAAGACTATGTATCTTTAATTGTCTCGATAAAGAATATAAGACACGTAATCTTATATTACAATATATTTATATATATTTTATATTTTAGTATATATTATATTTATATTTAATCGAATTCGAATATTTATTGAATATTATATTTTATATTTTAGTATATATTATATTTTATATTTTAGTATATATTTTATATTAGATTCGATAAATTAATCAGTATTAAAATTTAATTCGAATTCGACCATTAAATTAATCGAATAATTCGAATTCGATTTGTCTACATCAGATATCGAATTCGAAATCGGATACTCGAATGCCGTTTACACCCCTAAGTACCCCCTTGTAGAAAATAGATCTAAATTCCTCCAGCACATAAATAATCATAGGGCAAAAAGATCATCCTTAAGAATATTCATCTATGTGAATAATTGTAAAGCTTGAAGTTTCAATAATTCCATATGAATTCATCTTATTTTTTCCTCATTTCATATATCAAACCTTAGAGAAGTGCAAGATTAGCACTTTGACCTAAGATACAATGATATCATCATCATCAACATATGCCTTAGGTTACCAAAGTGAGCAGATCTCATATCATGTAAAAAAAAAATTGTAGAAATCAGAATGACCACAACAAAAAATTCAATCCTACTAACACCAAAAATAAAAACAAAAAATGCTATCCTTATCCTGAAATAAGAAATATAGGTGAGAAAGGAGTGGGGAGGGAGACCTTAATACCTGTCGTTTGTGCCGTTGGCTTCGATCTCTCAGCTTCTCACAAACTAATTTTAAGTCACATGTTACATTAAACAAGTCTTCGGCATCTGGATGAAATTCATGGAAAATGCTTTTCTCACTAATACCCAGCTTCAGATCTACAGTATCAATAAATGGTTGTTCAAAGTCCAAATTCGCACTAATAGGAAAAATTAAGGCAAATCATGGATAATAGGAAAAACACCTTTAAGAATTATCATGACAATCCACTTCATTTCCTGTGCATTTGTTTTCTTGATAAGCTCAGAAAGAACAGAAGTCTTTTCTTCCCTGTTAACAAATACAGGAAAGGAAAACAACAATATTAGACTTGAAGAAGCTTCAAATAAAAGGGGAAAGAAAATAAACTAATATACATTAGAAGTATTTAAGAAATAAAATTAAGACAAAGTTGATGAAAAGGATGAGGGGTCACAGAGTTTCAAGAACGGGGAAGAGCAAGTTCATGACACTTTCGGGTGGTCCACTGGCTAAAATCACTGGAGCTATTCTCACTTTCTCAGTGGATGACTTGATGAGGAAGTGACTCTAACTTTGACTCTGAAGTTTAGGGCCAGCTGTTTTTGGACACCAGCAAAAGATGGGTACATTAAACTTAACTTTCACGGAAGCAGCAGAGAGAACATAGGCCTTTCAGGTGTGGAGGTCTTTTCAGAAATGAGATAGGGCATGTGTTAGCAATGTTTTCAGGTCCGATAGGCATCGGTGACTCTTTGAAGGCAGAAGATATGGCAGTTAGGGAAGGTGAAAGAAAGGCAAAGGAGCTGTATGTGAATAAACTGATTATTGAAGGGGACTCACAAGTGATGATAATTGGCTGCTAAACAAGGGGGATAAGTTGTGGGTATACGAAAAATGAGTTAAAAAGGTTTAAATGGATAACCAGAGGCATGGATGTTAAAATTCAGTCAGTGCAAAGGACAGCTAACAGCAGGGTGGATTCCTTGGCAAAACAAAGGGCTGGAAGAATTCAAATGATTTGGGCTCAGTTGTAATACTTTTGGATTGGAGATAAGCTGTTTTATCTCCCTTTCTTTCTGTACACTTTGTAATTCTCTATTAATTTAATAAAGGGTGGTCTTGGATAGGATAATTGAATTATTGCTGTAGGCAAGTAGGGTTTTGGGGCTCTTCTTACTAGGGTTGAGTGCAGATAATACAGCCACAAACTTTTTTTTTATCAGAAAATATTTTGTTTTTTAATTAATAACAGAGAAAAAGTTATAATCAGTTACAATAGTTAAAGGTTGCAGAAATGCATTAACCCAATCTGCAACCACATACAATCAGTTACAGTTCTGCCCAGTACAAGGTAGATCTATTTGCCCCCTGTTTTGCTAGGGTATCCGCCATCCCATTTGCATTCCGTTTGACCCAACCAAACTGAGAGTTGAGCCTTCTTGCAAGTATGTCAAATTCTCTGAAGATAAATTTGAGCTTCCAAGGTACTGATGTGATGTTTTTAGCCCAAGCAATGACCAGTAGTGAATCTCCTATTTCTAAATCTGTTGTTCCTATTTGCTCAGCCATCTTTAGACCTTGAAGTAGGGCTAGAGATTCAACCTGTATTGAGTCACCAATACCTATTGGTCCTGAGAAGAGTGCCACCACCACATCCAGATGATTTCTAATCACACCCCCTATGCCTTCCCTTCCTGGGTTACCAAAGAAACTCCCATCAAAGTTTAGTTTTATTTTGTTCAGTGCAGGTGGCTTCCATTCCACTTTCACACCTACTTTGGATCCATCTGTTTGTGCTACTTCAATCTACTATAGTAAGCCAATGAATAACATGGATCCCACAATAGAATACTCTTTTTCTTAGATTCTGGCCCTCCATCACACAACTCCATAAAACACACACACACACACACAATCTAGCATCCACCAATGGTTAACCACTACAAAAAACACAAAGAAAAACACTCCAAATATGCCAGGCACAAATAGATGTATTGGGAACCAAAAAAAAAACTTCACCACATTTGCAAAATCCAATAGAATCATAAAACAATCCAAATATGTTTGATTTCTATATTAAAAAAATCCCTAAATACGCTGATTAAAAAAGTCCCTAAATTGATATACTACTTGAAAGTTCTTTGCCATTAATTACATGCAGATTTTACCTGTTCCCACTTGAAGCCAAATGGTCAAGCAAGTCATTCAACTCCTTGATTGTTAATCCACCAGAAGCCATCCCCTGCCTTTGCTGTAATACCTGTTAACATGGAAAAAAAAAGGAAATTTTAACCAGAATGACAGATTCTCCCTATTGTGCAGTAGATTGCCCATGCATACAAGAAATGGTAAATAAAAGGATGTGAAAAAATTTTAAAAGTCTCACTTCCCATCACATTTATTAATAGAAAAGAAAAATGTTCTATGGTACCTAGATACCTGTACAAGGGTGTTGAATCATGTTTATTACTTCAATTTTTAGTTTAAATTGCATATCCCATACCTTGTCCAGGTATGTCCTTGCCATATTCGGGTAGTGATGAAAATGGTCAATAATAATTAAAGAATTATTTTATAGTTTGATTGTAGTGTTTTAAAAGGTGTGGGAGGTGTATGCCTGGAGGCGTGCCTCTAAACGAGGCACCCCCAAAACGCCCCGAGGTGTATGCCAAAGGCATTGATGCGTCTGAGGCATACGCCTCATACGCCTTTACCTTACCTTTTTTTCAAAAAAAAAAAAAAAAAAAAAAAAAAAAGGAAAAGAAAGGTAAGGGAAAGAAAAAGAAAGGGAAGGGAAAGAAAAAGAAAGAGAAAAGAAAGAAAAGAGAAGAGAAAAGAAAAGAAAAAGAAAGAGATAAAGAAACGATGATCAACAACGCAACAGTTGGGGGAGAACTAGGTAATAGTGCAGCTAATGAACAGAAGCCGAGGATTGCTCATCTCGAACTCAAGCAGGCTACAGAAGGTGATAATGGATGTGGAGAAAGTGGTTTGGGAACAGAGATACGTATTAACAGTGGGATGAAAGATTACAGATTGGAAGTCAATCTTGGATACGATTTTAGAGCGGCTTCATGTCAAGTCTCAAGTCTACAGCAATGGTCGCACCTTTCAGTGAGACAGGAGCCATCCTTGACATAGGAGTTGAAGAAGTGGTGGATCGGTTATCAATTGAAACAGAGGATGGGCTGATCTGGATAGACACATGGCACATGTCTTGCAATGAGAAAGAAGTTGCAGTAGGAAATTCCATTCTATAACTGGTTGAGCTCCCATTCAACTTCTGGAACAAATCGATGCTGGAGAGGATTGTCAAATATCTGGGTGGAATCTTGGAAGCCTTCAACCTGCACGATCTGCATGCTGCTAGAGTGAGGATCGATAGGGTAAAACCGGAAGAAATCCCTCAATCCTTGGATCTCTACTGGATTGACTATGGAGGAAAGTTTGGTTGATAATGGAAGTTGAAGCTGTGGCTGTGCCGTGGAAGGGCTGCACCAAGTAGGAAGACGGTAATGATGTGGCACTAAGGTGCTTATGTGGAGGTAGGAGAAAGGAAGGAGGAAGGGGAAAGGGCTCGCCAATTTGGGAAGATGAACAGTCGAATGCCAGGGCTCAACTAGAACTATTAAAGGAAAAAGGAAAGAATTTTAAAAAGTTGAAGTTGAAGAAAAAGTGACCCAGGGTGGGACCACAAAGATTATAGAAACAACAATATAAAGTTCTTTCTGACCCAGCCAGGGGCTGGGTTAACCCAAACTCCAATTTGAACCAATCGAAGCAACAGTCTGAGAAGACCTGCTCACACGACACTTTAAGTAGTCATGCAAGTCAAAGACACTATTGATGAGTTGGGAAACAGTATTTGGGTGTATCTTCGTCCCTAGTAACAGAGCAAACGATGGCTGGTTCCAAGAGTAGTTCAAAGAAATCTCTACAATGGATTCCTAGACAAAATATAAAAGATAAGGGCTCCAAAAAGTCGGCAGATGGTCACCCAAACCCAAGATACTATAGGGAAAGGGTGGAGGAGAATGAGGTGGAAGATAAAGGCTGGTGTGATTACACTCTGTCGGACAATGAAGAAGATGACTCTATGAATGATTTCATGGCCGGTAGATTGGATTTGGATAATGAGTTGGAAGAAGATAAAGAGGAAACTTCTTCGCTTACAAAATGGAAGAAAGTGGCAAACTCAGCACCCCTCAAAACTATGATCAGTCCATCAAAATTCAGCTTAGTGAATTTTGATGGAAGCAATGAAGGAAACTTAGGTCCTTCAGGCATAGGAGGAGTTTTCAGGGATGAGGAAGGGAAAGTTTTTGCTTTATTTTCAGGTTCTATCAGAACAGGCGATTCACTTAGAACAGAGATCTTTGAGGCAAGGAAAGGCATACAAAGGGCAAAGGAGCTAAACATTAGAAAGCTATTTTTTATGGTAAAAAAATTCAATGTAAAAGAAAAATGACATACAACCTAACAGGTGATAAGGAATCACCTACATACAAAAAAACCAACAAAACTATCAGTTATATATCAGATTAAATTTTCCAAATTACAAATTTGAAACCCCTACATTTCCCAAGAGCCAAGATCCTCCTTGGTGACTTGTCTGATTTCTGGTAATATCAAAACCCAATCTGCAACAGATTTACTATCAGCTGCCACTATCCTGTCCAATGTCCGGTTTTTGTCTTCAAAAATTCTTCAGTTTGTTTCTTTCCAAATGTTCCAGCATATTGCAAACGTGATGCAATTCCGAATCACTCTTGCTTTCTTGCTTCTTCTTCTCATCCCCGAGCTATCTCTCCCATCCCTTCCCCCAACCTCATTACTATGTTAAAATCACCCCCAAGCACCAAGGACCCCCCCCCTTCCTGCCTTGCCCCCTCCAATTCCTCCCAGAATCTTCATTTGTAAGTCCCCACCTACAATCCCCTTCCAAAATTTGAAAGCAAATCAAAATTGAAAACACACCTTTCTTCTATCCAACCTTCCTGATGACCTTTGGATCCCAGAGGACCACTAAACCACCCGATAGACCCACAGAATTCACCCCCACCCACTCCCAACTATTAGAAAGCTAATTATTGAAGGTGATTCAAAATTGGTGATAAATTGGCTACAAAAGGAGGAAAGAGAGTATTGGAATTATGCTAATGAAAAAAGGAAACTTAAATGGTTGTCCCAAACTATGGATATAAAACTGTAGTGGGTGAAAAGAAGCGCTAATTCCTTTGCTGGTACACTGGCTAAGCAAGGGGTGGGAAGAGATGGCTTGTTTTGGGCATTGTTGTAATCCTGAAGTTTTTTTTTTCGGGTGGGGGGTTAAGAGAGTTCACCTCTCAGTCCTCTCCCCTTGTTTCTTGTATCACCTTGTATCCTTTTAATGGTCATTAACCTTACTTGTTCAAAAAAAAGAAAGAAAGAAAGACCCATCCTTTCAGCTAGTGTTATGAATCTTCATTCTTCTTAACATAAAACATTTTTATTAGTTCTTTTTTCCAAAAGAACCTTTTTTAGATACAAATTTCAATTTTTATCATTTTATTTATAAAAAATAAAAATTGAATAAAAATATAAATCAGACCTAATGGTTGAACCACTGACCTGCAACCCGGAAGCAAATACACTTCAGCCTATGAGTGGGTTTTAAAACACTACTACCAATCTCGCATTATACCTTTCTATGGTACTATTTTCCCTGTACTTTACTGTGAATACCTATCTACACCAAACAAGCCCCTTGACAACTAGAAAAATCAACATCTCCCAAGTTTGATTCTTCAACAAGGCATCCATTCAGTCTACATAACCACACACTTAGATTTTGAGTGGGCCTTAATTTCATTCTTGGGAACAAATGGGAAAAAAATAGTGGACAAGAAAGCACAATATTATGATTTATGGGGAGAGAGACTAATAAGAAACATAAGGAGAAATGCAATATGCAGTTGAAAAAATGTGCATCTCATATTAGTTGCATCACTATTCAGATATTGCTTCACATCAAAACTCCTTTATTTACACCTCATTCTTAATTGTATTCTTCTCTATTAGCAGATCCCCCAATCTCAACCTACTGCCAGCCTCATTAACTCTTTCCTTGTCCAATTAACTTTTTATTAGGTATGTTAGATACTTTGGTCCCCTCCCTTTTTCCAAACCCAAGACCTTATTTACATAGTAAAACCCCACCAAAAGGTGAAAACCTGACTATTCTAAATGATGCATTTCATCATATAGGTTCACAATCACAACACTAATCAACTCACCAACTGGGTTCCAGCACCATGAACACCTCCAGGGCAGAACTACCAGTGGGCCATAACCAGCAGCATTCCACCCCAAACAACACTTGAGCTGACTCGGCCCATAACCGAAACTACTATCAGAAGCCACCGCCATCATGGCATAATCATCACACTGTTACCATCATCAGGAATATTACATTGTGTTGGACAGAAGGCCTAGAAGTTAAATCTTCTTCATTACATTTTTGCTTAGTCATGAAAATATCAGTTTTTGCTAGAGCAGAAGATTATTCTTATTGCTTTTAGAAAAATTATTAATGAATGAAAAATAGAAGACGCCAGACAAAAATATAGAATTAAGAACAGTTAGAAAGAACGTGGTTTCTGAAAGCGAGTAAACAAGTTGGAGAAGCTACATTCCTGAAGCAAAGGAGAAGAAACACTGTTGTAAGTTCTAAGTAAAATGACAGAACAAATTAAACTCTAAGCAACCTTAAAATAAAAATATAAAATCAACCCACGAACGTGATAAAGAAAACCAGCCCGAATCAGACAATAAACCAAGAAAAGGGAAAAAACACAAAAGGTGCTTATAACGAATAAATGCAATCCCCTATCTATAAACCAAATTCAAGTACACAGGTGGAGAACGCACCTCTGCAGCAACAAGAGCAAAATTCCCAGCATTGGCGCCCGTCTTGGCTCCACCCTTCCGCCAATTGATGAGGCGAAGAGCATCTTCAGACTCCTTTGACATTCCAAGGGCGTCAATAAGGCAAGTTGCGAGCACAGACTCCTTCAACCCATAGGAACCCCTTTCTCGATCAAGAGAGGGAAGAATCAGCCGAATTGCACTGAAGTAATCTCCAGGCTTGCAGAAGTTATCGAGAAATTTACGAAATTTAGACCGCTTCTTCGCCGAAGACTTGCTTCGCTGCATCCAATTGAATAAACTGCACAAAACACTGAACTTCACCGTTTGATCAGTCATTTTCCTCCTCCCTCTCTTCTCTCTCTCTCCCTCTGTGTTTACTCTCTGCGAAATGCGATGTAAGCTTTGAAGTTCAAAATGACTAAGTAACCCGCCACAGCGGAGTAACGCGAGATGAAGAAGCTTCCAAGTTCCAACCTACGCTTGCCCTTGTTCTCTCGATCGACACGTTCGGATGTGAGCCCAAATAACTTGTCACGTGTTGTGTGTACGATAAACTAGCGAAGCAAATACATGCGGTTGCGGAGTTCATATCGGCGCCCCACACCACATCCCGACTGTGCATTGGGAGCATCTCTCTATGACAAATACGGGAGATGCTCCCAATGCACGCTGAGATCAGTCCGGATTCAGTGCGTTTGAACTTGAAGCGATTTTCTAATATTCTCTCATCTGCCCATCACCTATTGAAACTTTATGATCACTAATAATATTTTTAAATAAAAAATTAATTTTATAATTTTTTTGTAAACAGAACCGATAGCTATATGGCAACCGGCTTAACGGTATCTTCAACCCATTCGATGACTCCACATTCCCGTGCGGTATCTTCAACTTACTGTATTCCTCTTAAATCCGAGCAAGCCCACGAGGAGCTCCTAACACCAAGCTAATCCTCGTCATCCAGTCCAGAGGTATCCTCCCTGGTCCCCGATTCTCTGATTCAAATCAACCCAAAAGTTAATCCATGCTCAGCTTTATTGAATAAAGACGGTAACAGTGAGAGATTACCATGGAGAAGAGAATGCAAGCTTCCATTGAAGAGGTAATTGTAGACGAGGAGCTTCTCCTCCTTGGCGTAGTAAATTAGTAACAAGCTCCGACACGAACCAGGTTAGGATGTCTGAGCTTCCTAATCAAATCCATATACTGCTCGAATTCCTTCCTCGCACAAGGGTTGGCGTCCTTGAGCCTCTTCACCGCAACCGTGCACCCATCTTCCAACACAACCTTGTAGACTGTTCCTGATGAAGGAGATTTTGGCCCGACATCGTGACAGGGATACACGTGGACGTGACTCAGCGTAAGCGATAACTTGATGTAATTAGATTGGCACGTGGACATGGCTCAACACGAGTGACAGATCAGCATAAATCAGCTCGCTACAAAGCGAGCTCGGGCAAGTTGGTACCCCGAACTAAGGTCACTTCGATCTAAGATAGTCTTAGTAACAGATCGCGACAAATGAAACCAAGTTCGTTACAGATCGTGTCCGGACTGATGGGTCACCTCGGTCCAAGCGCACTTCGGCATTTGTGTCAAGGCAAACCTATGAAGCGCAAGCTCGAGGAGCTCGCTACCAATCAGCTTGCCATCGAACAACTCGATATCCTACAGGCGACTCGCCTACTGTTCAGACCACCGAATGGCAACCTCGAGGAGCACACTACGGTACTCTATATCCTATAGGGTCGTACCTCATAACGGTCACATTAGTTCACCAACTCCCCAGTTCTAACAGAAAGGGACAGTATCACAATTTGACGGCGTGTGACAGTATTGCCGTTGACGACGTGTGACAATATTACCGTTGGATGGCGTTTCGCCCACCTAACACGCAAACAAGTCCCGTCACAGTTGGGACCCAGTAACTATTCTACCAACCCACATGGACCCCAGTATATAAAGACTCCCCCCCCCCCCCAAGGGCGGGGTACGTTCTATTATTATTGTTGTGTGTGTAATGTTCACTCTCTAGTTCTCTCACTATTATTATCTTCAAGCTCTCTACTATCACTATGCTCTAACTTAGCCATCGGAGTATCCTCGTCGGGTGAGCCGCCCCATGATCTTTGACTCATTTCTTTCAGGAACCCAGTTTTCACTGTTGCTGGAAGCGAGATCACATCCAGTAGGGAGTAGCCGGATTATGCCATATCAATTGGCGTCGTCTGTGGGATCTTGTTACTAAAAGCCTTTTTATCTCCATTTCAAAAACCCCAAACTCAAAAATCAAACCTATGGCTTCTTTCAGCAACGCCGGACAGCACAGAGAAGCAAACATCTCCGGGGGGCAACCTCAGTTCCCAACTGTCTGCATAGGCCAGTTCGCCATACTGCTCCCCGCGGGGGGGATCCCAGCGCCTACTGTGCCTCAACCAATTGAGCCTATGAATGCCCCATTTCCCCCTGTAGTGGGTGCAGCCTCCATTGAACCATCCGTAGTCCCCCCTGGAGTAGGACAAAACCAACTAAGCGACCTAGTATACTGCGTATGGGCTATTCAAGCCCAAATGCAGTAGGTCCAGCAGTTCCAACAGTACCAACAACAAGTTCTGCACCACATGTACTAGCGGCAGTTCCCGCCGCTGCGACAAAACCAACAACCTAACCCACCTCAATGTCCAATCACCCCGAGCAAGCCTTGCCACCAAAGTAGCCGTCCTAGCCGGGGAGAGACCTCCCAGGTCTCGTCTCGCGGTAGGAGAGAAAGACAAGTCCCTCCCATTTCTCAAGTAAGCAGGTCGAGAGATACTCGGCCCACCATAATCAGTTCGCCTCGACCTTCGTGACCTAAGGCATTCTCGCGGGAAACCGGTTTGAGATCTTAGCTGAAGACTCCAGGCGAACGGGCAGACAGAAGTCACGAACAGAGCCATACTCCGCGGACTGAAAGCCTGCTTATCCCAAGCTAAGGGGCTATGGGTAGAAGAGTTGCCCAGCGTACTATGGGCTTATCAAACTACCATCAAGACCGCCACGGGAGAAACCCCCTTCAACCTCACCTATGGCACGGAAGCGGTAACCCCAATCGAAATCGATGTACCTACATTATGCCTAGAAGCCTACGACAATGAAGGAAATGGTGACGAGCTCTGCACCAACCTCGACCTAGTAGAAGAGGTACGAGATCTCGTGTACATCCGAACCGTAACCTACCAGCAAAGAGTAGCCCGATATTATAATGCCCGAGTCAGGAAGCGACACTTCCATGTAGGGGACCTGGTCCTTTGGAAAATTATGGTATCTAAGTCCAGTGTAGGTAAGCTCGAACCAAACTGGGAGGGTCCCTACCGAGTGAAGTGGATATTCGAGGAAGGTACGTACGAGCTCGAAACCCTAGAAGGAGAGCGAGTACCTCGGGCGTGGAACATCAACAATCTAAGGCAATACTACCTCTAATTACGAACTGGAAAGGCACCAGCCCCAGAAACAAGTAAGAAAGCTCTAACTCTCAGATTGTGATTTCTAGCTCACAGTCTACTATGAGAGTACTAACTTAGCCATCGGAGTGACCTCACCGGGTTGGCCACCCTGGGTCCTCTGACATTAAGTTCCTTATAGGTCTCTAAGGAGCAACGAAACTTAGGAGCGAACTATGGGTCCCTCCCAAAGCCTAAGGGCCATAAGAAGACCTAGTTGCCACTTTGGCGTGGGCGAAATTCAGGAGCGGACTACAAGTCCCTCCCAAAGCCTATGACCCACAAGAAGACCCAATTGCCACTTTATCATGGGCGAAATTCAGGAGCGGACTACGGGTCCCTCCCAAAGCCTAAGGGCCACAAGAAGACTTAGTTGCCACTTTGGCGTGGGCGAACTTCAAGAGCGGACTACGGGTCCCTTCCAAAGCCAAAGGGCCACAAGACCCAGTTGCCACTTCGGCGTGGGCGAACTTCAAAAGCAGACTACGGGTCCCTCCCAAAGCCTAAGGGCCGAAAATGCCGAATTGACAAGGACCTAGGCGCTGCATAAGACCTGGATACCTCGCTAGCATAAGTAAACTACTTCTAACACCTAAGGTAAAGACAGCTTGTGTATAAACCCTACGATGTCTATTTCACCTCGGTTACCCTTACTCATTGCCAAGCTCAGTAACTCAATAGTTTGGGGTAACCTACGCAGCCCGGAGCAAACGCAATTTATTCTTTTGGTAATCCCTACTCATTGCCAACTCGGTAACTCGGGTAACCTATATTTTAAATTGCCCAGCTCGGAACTCACTCACACTTAGAATTATTTTGCACTCAGAATTACTCAGAAAACTATATATTTCATTAGTAAAAAAGGTTCAAGTACAAGAATTTTACAAAAACCCGAGCTCAACGGCCCGGGAGAGTACATCCACAATTCCAAGAAGATAAAGATAAAGAACAAGAAGTCATCACGTAGAAGGGTACACCACTTCGATCTCTTCATCACTCTCCTCCCCTAAAGAGTCGGGCTCCTCATCTGCCGCATTGGCCACCTCAGGGTCTAAGCCTGTCATCGAAATGCTGCCGAGGTCGAGGTCGGGGAACTTCTGTCGAACCAAGTACCGGCACAACTTGAATCCAGATCAATAGGAGTCTGAGTCGTATTCAACCTGTAGGGCCTCGAACTCTGGAGACTCTTTGAAGCTCTCGATGGCCTTGTTTCTTTCTTCCACAATGGAGGCCTCGAGGTTCGCGATCTCTCGCTCAAGCCGCGCCTTCTCCTCAGCCAGCAAGGAGATCTTCCCTTCCTGGGTCAAGATCAACTTCTTCTGGGCCTCAGCTCCCTTCTTTGCTTTATACACCTCATCTCGAGTCAGGTCCAGCTCACGGTGGAGTTTTTGCACATCCGCCCTAGCTTCGCGAGCTTTCTTTATGCAGATCGCCAATTGGCAGGCCAGCGTGTAACCAGCAAAGTTAGCCTACCAAAAGAAAACTGGGGTAAAAAAAAAGGGAGAGGTGGAGGAGAAAAACGGAATGCTTACCACCATATTGTGGCTGCCGACTAGTCCCAAAAGCCGACCCGGGGACATCTCTGCCCACTTCGCTATCTCGTCAGGGAAGATGGCACCTTGACTCTTGCGCATGGCCTGCACGTGGTCCATGATACTCTCTTTCACGATCAGGAGATAACCCTCTGGTGCAGTATCCGCCCCCACGAGCGCGGACGAACTTTATGTATCCTGGGGGTGAGCTCCCTCGTGATAAATTTCGTCCATGACCACCTCGGGGGCAGCAGATCGGGCCTCTTCTTGGTGAGGCACAGCGGAGACTGGCTCTATGATTACAACTTCAGGAGAGAGATCGGCCTCCTGGCGTGATCTTTTTGCAGTCCTCTTCTTTCCCTTTTGGGAGCTCCTCAATAGGCTTTCTGCGTTGACCGACATGGTAGCTGCAAAAACAAAAAGGTTAGCCACGAACTAATCAGAACCTTAAAAAAGCAAAAACCTAATGCGACCTACTAGGACTTAAGTCGGCCTGCACGAGCTTGTCTTCAGCAAGGTAGTCCGAGTAGAGAAAGTCGAGCTCCGCCCAAGACTTGAGTGTCTCTCTTGTCTTCAGGCCCAGTC